AATTCTGGCTCATAGCGACCTGCACTGGATTTCCAAGGAGGTAAATCTTTATCGAAGTAGATTGTCCAGTCTTGCTTCCATGGAGTGGCTGGTTAGTTTGAACCACTAACCTTCTGGTTAGCAGTCAGATGCCTTAGTCACTCTGCCACCAGAGCTCCTTTGGAAATAGCATGAGGTCACTAATAGTTGGGATTGACTTGCCGACGATTGGTTTGACTTTTGGATTTTTATTTTAGGACTGTAGAATTTTTTCCCCTGTCATTATAGGTTTGTAGTGAGTGGCACTTTTCCTCTCTCTTTATTGTTGCCAGTGTGGTGTGTACACATGCGTTTGCACAGGTGTGTCAACAGCATAGGCTTCACTCCACCTGTTGAGATTGGTATAGTGCACAGACTCAGAGAGGGCATGTCTGGTTGTGTCCGATAATACGTATCTGTCTTAACATTTCAAACCACTCATCCACTTTCAGCTGCAGATTCTTACTCTAGCCTTCCAAGGACACTGAGCTGAGACTCAAAGCAATTTTCTGCTGGCAAATTTTGACTGTGATTACAAGCTTAGTGATGGTCCCAGCTGGAAGTAATTGTTAGTGATGGAGAGGATGGTACGGTTGAGTGTGCCTGGAATGAATGTGCTGTGCATGTGTGTGAACATGCGTGCATAGGTGTGCATGTGTATGCATATATGTGCATGTGTGTGAATGTACACATTTGTGTGTGCCTGTGTGCATATCTGTGCATGCATGCACATGCATGGGCATGTTTGTGTGTGTGTGCATGTGTGTATGCCCCTGTGTCTACACATGCACATGTGTATATGTGCACATGTCTACATGTCTACATGCAGTGTGTGTCTTCCCATACATGTGTGTTTGTGTGTGCACGCACAGATATGCATGCATGTGTATGGTGCACATTAGTGCATGTGTGTGCATGCTTGCCTTGTGCACATGTGTGCGTGTGTATATGTGTGCATGCATGCATGTGTATGTGTGTTTACAGGTGCATGGATTTCAATGTGTATATGTGTGCAGGTGTGTGTACTTGTGTGTGTTTGCATGTGCATACATGTGTATGTGTGTCTGTATATAGTTGAAGAACAGAAGAGATCTTATCAGTGAATGATTGAAGAAGAAACCAGTAATATGACCTCTTTGTCATTAAGCTCTGTAATGAAGAACCACTAGCATCACTATAATATAAAATACAGCATCAGAGACGGGGTTGAAGGTCATAGTCGGGACTTAAGGTTACTGAGTCAGAATTTCACTCAAAGGCAATGGGTTTGTTTGTTTTTTTGGTTGAAATACTGCAGAATGACTGATCCTCTTCTCAAGTGCCTGGAGTACCACAGGAACATTGTGTCATCATGTCATGAAGCTAAGATTCCTTGATGGGAATACAGTAAATGAATTGTGAAAAGTGGTTCTATAAGTGGGGTCCCTACTGAGATTGAGAGATGCAGTGGGCCTTTAGTTAAAGACATGACTACATGTTCCACATTTCCCCTGAGGTCATCTGGACCCTTCTGTAGCCCCCCACACCACTGTTAGAAGAGGCATGAAGACAAGTCACCACTAGGTGCTGCCTCAGAAGCACACACAGGAGGGATGTGGAGGGATTAGGGGAACGTAGGAGAGAAGTAGCGGTGGGCAAATACTTGAGGGAGAGGCAGTTACAAAACAGTTTAATTTCAAGCTTGCAAGAGGCCATCTGGATGTGACAGTGGGTATCTCCTCATCAAAGCAAAGAAGAATGAAGAAAACCAAAGATGCATGGGAATAATTAGTCCAAGGGACTGGTAGACCATGAGATCCTCAGCCTATGTGGCCATGAGAACAGAAGAACTAGATGGTGCCTGGCTACCACTGTCAACTCTTGGAAAGAGCTCAGTGCAGGAGATGCTGGATTGAGTGGGAGAACAATGTGGAGCAAAACTCAAAATCATTAAAAAAGACCAGGTTTACTGTTTCATAGGGCCTGGTGAGACCCCCAAGACTATGGCCCCTAGTTACCCTTCAGATCTGGACCTGAACTCACTCCTGTGGCTTCCAGCCAAAGAATACGCAGGCATATAGAGTGAACATTTACATCAGGTAGATACGTACACTCCTTAGAGAGATCAAAATCAGTCTGGGAGGACAGAAGGGCAGTGTTTGCACAGGAAGGAAGCTTGGGGCAGGAATACTTAGGAAAGAAGGACACAGGGAAGAGGTAATCACAGGGAGAAAGCGGGAAGAAAGCTATTACATTGTGGGGAATTGCAGTCAATGTCATGAAACAAACTGTGTATGGACTGCTGTGTGGAAAATGAATTTGCTCTGTAAACTTTCACCCAAATCACAAAAATAAATAAATAAACAGTTTAGTTTCACCCCTGATCTATTGCTATGTCCTGAGAGAACCCTGCTGGGCAGCCATCAAATACCTTGGAAGAAAGCGCGCTGCTGAGGTTCCCTTAGGTTTAGGGGTGCCATCAGGGCCATTTACTGTGATTTCCCGGAGTCCTCTTTGGCAGCACTTGAGTGTGTGCTCGAGTAAAACTTGATTCATGCTGAAATTTGAATTTCATGCAATTTAGATTTTTAAAATTCATAGGCTTTACTTTTCATAGCACTTCTGGTTTTACACGAAAATTGAACATAAAGTACAGAGTTGTCACGTACCTCGTCCACCCTGCACACCGTTCTGTTACTAATATCTTGCATTAATGTGGTGCATTTGATACAATTCCTGAGCCATTATTGATATGCTACAACTAATTCAAGTCGGCAGATTACGGTAGCATTCACTCTTTGTATGGCACAGTTCTCTGGGTTTTGACGCATGCATGTCAGGTATCCACCACTACGATAGCATGTCACTGCCCTGAAATCCCCCTGAGGAAACAGGTGGCACACGCTGCAAGCCCTTGATGTCCCTGCCTCACAGGACAGCAGCTCCCCTCCCAGTGGCAGGATGACGTGCAGAGAGTGGAGACCTGGGCCTCACCCCCGCGGGCTGTGTTTCTAACCCTGCACTGCCATGGAGAGTGGGCTGCATGGCCTCAGGCAAGTGGTCTAGCCTTTCTCTGCTCATCTGTGAGTAGGGATCACAAAGGCAGTTGTGAACACTACAGGAGTTATAGTGCAGAGGGAATTAGAAATTGTGTCTGGCACATAGGATGCACTCAGTAATTCAAGCTGTAATAATCAACTTCCTTCCTGGAATAGATCTATGTAGTAAAGGATCCTGGTGGCTCAGTGGGTAAGCACTCAGCTACTGACCAAAACACTGGCAGTTCAAACCCAGCAGCTGCTCTTCAGAAGAAAGACCAGGAATGAATGTGGCCTAGAAACCTGTCTAGGGCAGTTCTGCTGTGTCACATGAGGTCAGCGTGAGTTTGACATCAACTTGACAGCACCTAACAACAGCGTACCTGCAGTAGCAACCCACAGGATGACTGGAGAATTAGGTAACTCATGGCAGTGTGAGAACACACCCTCCCCGTGTGCTGGATAAACAGGCCACGGTCATCCACGGATCGTTCCACATGGAACTCATTTCACTTCTAACGTGGGTCACAATTCCATGTTTTGGTGTTATTTCTGTCTGACTAAAAACCATAGAAACCAGAGGATAAAGCAAGTATTTAACGCCTTTGCGGCAGGATATAAAGCCAACAGTTATATACAGTGCAGTGGAAGAATCGCTTACAGAAATTAATGATGAGAAAACCCATTCCCTCAGCTACCATGGAACACAATGATGTAGTGGCCACACTGTCTCCTAAGTGGTTTTCCATATTTTGTATTTTAGCACCTTGTCTTTTAAAAAGGAGCTCTGGTGGTGCAGTGCCTAAGGCATTTGACTGCTGACCAGAAAGTTGGTGGTTCAAACCCACTAGCCACTCCAGAAAAGGAAGACACAGAAATCTTCTGTAAAGATTTACCACCTCAGAAACCCAGTGGGGTTTGTGAATTGGAATTGTCTCGATGGCAGTGTTTTTTTTTTTTTTTTTTTTTTGCTGCCTTTTAAGGGAGGCAAACACAATTCTCCAGGGCAATGAAAAACTTGTTATTTGGTAAATTGGATTTTTGCCTCCATATTAATCAAAATCCAGCCTGGTGTTGGTTGTAGGGGATGAAATACTCTTGAAAGGACAGATTGAGTAGCGTACTTGTCGGGTCATGGAGATCAGGAAAATGTGTAATTATTTCTGAGTTTTCTGACATTCCTCTATTGAACATCGTGTTTGGACTTCCAGCTGGCGCAGTGCCAGCTAGGAAACGCAAACCCAAAGGTGCTGCCCTGCTCCCACGCCGGGTTTAATCATGCAAATCTAATGCAGTCCTTGGTATTTCAGGAAAGGTTTGCCTTAAGTCTCAGGCACATACTGATTTAAAAGTCCTACTTCAGGGAGAAGAGTTTTTTTTTTTTTTCCAGCTGCAAATTTTATACACAGAACAGCATTTGGAGGCTGATGTAGTGCCTGGACATCGATCCATGCTTGCTAATCGTGAGATGGCATAGTAGCAGAGTGAGGTGGGAGGGAAGGGCACCCTCACAGAATGTGAGGATTTCTAAGCACACCTACTGCACTTCAGATCTGAGTTGACTAGTGTTCTGTAGCCAGTCCCCTTGCTCAGAATAAGAGCCGCTCAACCAATTAAACATATGTTTATTGAATGTCGGCTCAGTTCAAGGAAGATGGCCAAAACTCTCAAGCACAGGCCAAATAAAAAATAATGCTACATGCTCCTCACTTGGGGGATGATTTAAAAATAAAAAGCTCTTTGGAAATGAGTCTGTTTGCAGGAAGAAATGCAGTTGTCTTGGTCACAAGCGCAGGCTGACACACTGTAATAGCCTTCCTTCTGTGCACAATAAAGGTTCAGCTTATCTTTCCAAGAACAATAAAATTGTGTGTACTGTTGCCTGACATAACAATTATTTTTACGTATCTCCGTATCGCTGACTCTCTTGTAAGTTAATCTCATCTCACATGAATTTTTCACCAGCTTCACTCTGATGTTGATAAAGGAGATGGTTCCATCAAATACATCTTGTCAGGCGAAGGGGCGAGTTCCATTTTCATTATTGATGAGAACACGGGGGACATTCATGCCACCAAGAGGCTGGACCGGGAGGAGCAGGCCTACTACACGCTGAGAGCGCAGGCCCTGGACAGGCTCACCAACAAGCCCGTGGAGCCGGAATCGGAGTTTGTCATCAAGATCCAGGACATCAATGACAATGAGCCCAAGTTTCTCGATGGGCCCTACACTGCAGGGGTTCCGGAAATGTCTCCTGTGGGTAAGTACGGAACACCCTGTGTCTGCAGGGAGCGTCTGGTTTTAGGTGGCTTGTACTTCAAATTAAATCATCATATACACTGACTGAAAATCCATGTTTGTGATCATGTAGCAGGAGTCAATTAGTGTGACCTTTGCCAGCACCCAAAGCCTACCCATTCAGCACCTTGTCTTACTGATATGGAGAACCAGGACTTTTCAGTCTCTTCAAGAGAGTACTCAGGACTTCCATATCCTTTTCAGTTAAAATTAAAATGGAAATCAATTATTGTAATTATGCCAAAAAAACAAAAAACAAACTCAGTGCCATCCAGTGAGCTCTGACTCTCAGTGACCCCCACTGGGTTTCTGAGGTGGTAAATCTTTACTGAAGTAGATTGCCCAGTCTTCCTTCCAGGGAGTGGCTGGTGGGTTTGGACTGCCAACCTTCTGGTTAGCAGTCAAATGCCTTAGGCACTATGCCACCAGAGCTCCTTGTAATTATGCTTAAGAAGTTAAAAAACAAAAATCCTTCTGGACACAGCCCTGCGATGAACTGTTACTTTTTATTCACTTGCCTTCAGGGTAGTCTTGGTCACTGTTCTAATCATCACTCAGTGGGCCAGGAGTCATAGTGGCACATGGTAAAATGGGCAGGCTGACCTGGGATTCGGCTGATCTCTGGTAGCATAGTGCCTAAGGCACTTGACTGCTAACGAGAAGGCTGCCGGTTGAAACCCACCAGCCACTCCTCAGAAGGAAGACAGGGCAATCTACTTCTGTGATACTGCCTCGGAAACCCAAGGAGGGGTCGCTATGAGTCGGGTCCGACTCCGCGGCACACAACAACAGCAACAAGTGCTTGAAGGGAGAGGGTGTTTGAACCAACAAATGCTCATTCACATGCCACCACAGCTCTAGTTATGAGCATTTATAGTGAATTTATCATATTGGTAAATTGACAACTGGTTTGAGGTATATAAAAGAATAATGCTTATGTTATTTAACTGTCTTTGACATGGCTACATTACTGGAAGAAAAAAAAAAGTAGAGCATTTCTATATACATATTACTTATTTCAAATAATACAAATTCCTTTTTAAATTCCATTTATTCAGATAGCTTTGGGATATTTTTCAGCCAGTATGTAATAAACATGGATGATCTTATAAAGAAATTAAAAAAAAAAATGAGATCTATCATAGAACCAGTTGAAATATATATTTATGTCCTGTTGTTTTTTTAATGTTAGAGAGAATTTATTTAAAATGATAAGTGAACTTGCATGTTAATACAGGAAAATTTTAGCTTACATAGTTTATTTTGCCTTAATAGTGATTATTTCATTGAGTCATTAATTCAAAACACCTGCTGTGCTGGGTTAGTGGGTTTGCAAAAGGGGTAGCTATGAGTTGAGATCTACTCAAATAGACTTGATGGCAGTGCGATTGGTTTGGCTTTTGGTTGAAACCATAAAACAAAACTAAACCCCTTGCCACTTGGGTTGCTCACAGCGACCCTGTAGGACAGAGGAGAACTTCCCCATCGGGTTTCAGAGGCTGTAATCATTATGGAAGCAGACTACTGCCTCTTTCTCCTGGTGAGCCACTGGTGGGTTTGAACCACTGATCTTTCGGTTGACCATCTAGTGCTTAACCCTTGTGCTCCAAGGCTCTCTGTGTGTCTTGTAAGGAGTCACAGTTGAGTGAGACTAAATTTATGTTACTTCAAATGGGAGAGGGAACGTTTTCTGGGGTCCCGTGGCTCTGTCTGCTAATGAAATACAGCCTGATAAAGAGATGGAAGGATCGATGCCTGTGGTCAGGCCCCGATCTGAACCAGGGCAGCGCCACCTCAGTGCTATGGGCACATTCCTGAATCTTTCTGCTTTTACCAAGCAGGTGTGGTTGCACTTCCTCCCTACCGCCCAGGCCTTCTGAGTACGTCCAGCTCTTGTGACTTGGCAAGAACAGCAGGGACAGCAGCAAGAGATGTTGGAGACTTAGAGAAAGGCACAGGGCACTCCGAAGTTTTGTAATGTATAGACAAGTCCAGGAGTGTTGGAGGCATGCTGGAGCACTTCGTATGCACACTCATCCAATCAATCTCGCAGAAATTTTGGAACTTCTTCCTTGTCTGCTCATGTTTTCCTGCGCTCTGCGAATACTCTAATGTAGTTATGCAATCTGGAGACTGGGCAGATTTTGTTTAGGGACTAAATAACACCCTGGGCTTTTTATTTCGATGGTACCTCCCTGATAGAAAGCCATATGATTATCATACTCACCATGCAAGTTATTTTAGTCATTCAGTTTTGAAGCACATCCAGGGCATTTTAGAAAATAATTTTCAAATGCCTTCAGGGTTAACTTGACACTGATTCACAACATTGAGTTAATGTCCACATTAGAACAATGAATGCTACACAAAATAAGCTTTAAGGATTTATACTGAGTTATAGTTCATCCAAGTGTTCAATTCTAATCAAATAATGATCATAGCCATTAGAGGTACAGTATATACAAGCTCCCTATATTTAATATTCAAAATAAGTGTTTGTTGAATATTAACTTATTATAAGGTTTAGAACATTCATTAGCCATTTGAACAATTTATTCATTACCAAGTGATCATTGATAAACACAGAAACTTTCAACTTATTTGAGAATATGTACATGGTAAATTACTTAATTAACATTTGAGAAAAAGTTATTCCATTTCGTCTATGTATAGAACCAAATTTACTGAAGTTCAGTTTTGATTATTTTGCTTTTCATTTTTTTAAAATAATCAATTAGTAAATCAAGCATATCATCAGAATAAATACTGCTGTGATGATGATGCTTTATAGAGAAAACAGGATACCAAAGGCATGTATTCTGACATTTTAAAATAATCAAAATGTAATTTCTAAAATGATTTTTAAAGTAAGTCATTAAGCATCTTGGTCCCACCAAGCCTCTGTGGGCACAGTCACCTAAGTTCATCAAAGGAAAAAATTCAGAATTTCAAAAATGCTGCTACACATATAATGTCATGGTATAAAACCAATTTTAATGAAAATAGAATTGGTAAGGGAAATCAGTATATGGAAAAGAGAATGGATTTGGAACAAAAATGGACATTCATGACTGTTAAGAGGCATTTAGAAAGTCAGATCTATGTAGGAAAGTCTCCTAAAGACATCTGAGATTCAAAAGTGTCAAATTTTTAGGAAATTATTAGAAGCATCAACTTGGACTGTAAAGGAGTACGTAAAGAAGGAGATCAGGTCAGTCAGCTTGTCTAAAGCTTATTGTCTCGTCCTCATTCTCACTTATGTGAAAGCATAAGTGTTATCACAGAAAGACCAAACACCAAACTCACTGCTGTCAAGTCGGATCCAACTCACAGCGACCCCTCCTTGGATTTCTGAGGTGATATCACTACTGGAAGTAGATTGCCCAACCTTCCTAAGTACTTAAATATGTAAACACAAACAAGCATCAGTTTTTCTAATACTCTGAAGATTATATTCCACATAGAAACAAAATAAATCAGAATAAATATTTTCCAGTTTTAATAAGGGTATATATGTTAACATGAACACCCAATATGGCATTCTCTCATAAGTCACATGGAAACCACCTAAGAATGCCAGGCTTTCCTTACTTTGAGGATGTTTGTTGTCAATTCTCATTGTATGGTTTTGTTTGTCTATCAATTCGTGTTGTTGTTATGTGCCATTGAGTCAGACCCGACTCATAGTGACCCCACCTTGGGTTTCCGAGGCAGTATCACTACAGAAGTAGATTGCCCAACCTTCCTTCCAAGGAGTGGCTGATGGGTTTGACCTGCCCACCTTCTGGTTAGTAGTCAAGTGCCTTAGGCACTATGCTACCAGAGCTCCCGATCAGTTAATAGAAACAAACAAAAAATAAAGCAACTCTTATTGTGATGGACTAGCCAGCTCTGGTAGCATAGTGGCTAAGACATTTCCTGCTAACCAGACAGCTGGCAGTTCAAACGCACCAGCCACTCCTCGGAAGGAAGGTTGGGCAATCCTACTTCCATAGTGATACTGCCTCGGAAACCCAAGGAGGGGTCGCTATGAGTCGGGGCCGACTCAACGGCACATAACAACAACAACAACAACAACAGCCAGCTAATAGCAAGTTAAATGGATCAGTCAAAGATTCTCTCTATAGTAATGACGTTTCAGTTTCTGTGTGGCCCAGTTTAACTACAGCAGTGAGATATGCTCACTGATTTTAGGGTCCACGATGCTGTCCGGCTACTGCTGGACAGTGCTTGAGACCCACAGACACTGCTGTTGGTGAGAACTTGCTCCCTGCCCCGATGCCTAAACTTTCAGTCCCATCAAATTCTGAGTATATCCCAGTCTAAAGTACATCATCTGTAATTACCAAAATATACCCATAGTCCCTAAATATTTCTAAGAGTTTCATAAGCATTTATCATCTTTTCAGGTTTGTTTTATGCCTATATATAAAATCAATTTTTATTTGCCTTGAAAGAGGATAAAGGGGAAAATCCCATGTCAATGTAATGTAGCTTCTGCAGCCTTTTGTAAGCTCTGCATTGTGTGGCATTTGGAAGCGTTAACTCATTGGCTCTTGGATTGGTACATAGGGACCTCCGTGGTACAAGTCACCGCAACGGATGCTGATGATCCCACCTACGGTAACAGTGCCCGAGTGGTCTACAGCATTTTACAAGGACAGCCGTACTTTTCAGTGGAACCAAAGACAGGTAAAAATCAAACTGTGACAGTCCTTCTAAAGAGATGATCGATACCTTGACTTGCAATTAAAATTAGTGTGTTTTTTAATTAAATTAGAAAGCACTGATAACAGACACTCTCTTTTTATTTTAATTCTCTCATTGGGTAGATTTTGACAATAAATACCATGCTATTTATAAGTTTACATAAATTATCACCACTTTTTAGAATATTTTACTACATTTATCAGTTGTTGTTATTATGTGCTGTCAAGTGGACCCCAACTCATAGCAACCCCTCCTTGGATCACTACAGAAGTAGATTGCCCAACCTTCCTTCCAAGGAGTGGCTCTTACCAAAGTTAATCACAGTATTAAGTCTTAAACTCCCTGGGTGGTACTAATGATTAAAGATTTAGCTGCTAACCCAAAGGCTGCCTGTTCAAGTCCACCCAGAGCTCTTTGAAAGAAAGGCTTACTTCCATAGAGATTAGAGCCAAGAAAGCCCTCTGTGACAGGTCTGATCTGTAACACAGGAGGTCACCATGACTTGGAATTGACTCGAGCAATGCGCATGAACATTAACAAGTATTCCAGCTGTGATTGCTGACTATCTAAGAACCTTGAGTGTTGACTATTAAGTTTTTCTGTGTCTTTAATGTCACAGAAGGATTATCCAAAGGCAAACTTAAATCTCAGGCAGAAACTTCCTTTCCAGAAGTAGGACTGGCAGTAGTAGGTTCAGTTCATCCTTCCAGAGGTCGGTTTCCTCTGGGAAATTGTGTTACACATAACAACTATGATGATGATTTGATAAATCAAAACTAAATTTAAAAAAAAAGAACTTTTTTTTTTTTTTTTTCTTTTTAAGTTAAGGTGGAGAAACACTTTTACTGAGTTACAAGGCTGCGTGGATAGAATATTTGTGTTTGGTTTGTCCTCTTTGCTTTTAAATGAAGTTGTTTAGGTCAGACTATGAACTGGAGCTTTATTCTCTTGGTTATAAAATAGCCGGTAATATAGTGAGCTGTTTAGTCTACATTTCTCGCTCTGTCTGTGGAGGGAGGAAGGGGTGTGTGTGTGGGGGGGGGGGGGGCGTGCGCCATTGATTATTTTCATCACCGTGGGATTGTAAAAAATCAAATTCAACTTTAAAGAGAATATATGCTCTAGGATATAGTCCAAGTGAAATATTATCTGAGGGTGATTTTAGATAATGCTAAAATATTTAAGTGAAAAGAGAAAAATTTAATCAGCCATGTTCATTTTTGATTTATGAGATGCCAAACCATTGGATTTTAAGTCATTTTATTAAAATGTTTCATGCACTATATATACATACATACATATATATATATATGTATATATATGTGTGTGTGTGTATATGTATATGGCACATAACAACAACAACAATATATATAATAGAATTATCACTTACCTTTAATGAAAAAAATATATTTCAAATAACAATGTTGATTTGAATGGGTAAATAGCTTCAGACTAATCATAGATGAATTTGTTTCATTCTTCTGAATTTTTAGGCAAAAACTAAAATATCTCCCTGTATCCCTACTTAGGTTCACAAGAGCTTTTAGCTCCAGAATTTTTTCCAAGGAAAACAAACCCTGCCACTCTGATAAGAGTCTTCCCTTCGGGACCTCCCTCTCTCTGGGTATCATTATATAGAAGACAGTACAATATGTCTTCCTCCCACATTTGGCTGTTCTCTCAATGTCCCACGCTGAGGTCTTATTTGGAACAACAAAACTTCAATACCATGACCACACCTCATTTAGGAATATTTACATTGGTTTTCCTAAGTGACAGCTCCATACAGGGGCACAGCCATCCTTTGAGGACATTTACACTGCTTGTAGACATTTACCCAATGGGGAACAGCATCTCTTCCAAGGCAGATGAAACTCCTCCTGATTTCTTAGCTTCATAAGCCAAAAACAAAACTGACTGCCATCGAGTCAGTTCTGACTCATAGCAACCCCTTTGGGTTTCCAAGGTGGTAAATCTTTACGGAAGTAGATTGCCCAGTCTTCCTTCTGAGTAGGGTGTATTTTTTCCATATTTCATGTCTCCACTCAGTATGCTCACTAAAACTGAAAATGAAACTCAATGCCTTCAAGCTGATTCCGACTTACGGTCACCCATGTTAGATTCCCAAGGCTGTAAATCTTTATGGAACCAGACTGCCTCATCTTTCTTCTGCAGAACAGGTGGTGAGTTCGAACCACTGACCTTCTGGTTAGCAGCCGAATGTCTTAACCACTACATCACCAGAGCTCCTTAATGTACTCACAGTCAACTCCAGAAAACAATTCCAATCAGCAATTCAGTCTTTACGGATGTGAGATTTGTTGAGTAGTGTCAGTGTTTTCTACTTTGCTAATACAATGAGAACTGTGAGAGCTGGAACTTGAGAGGACTGCCTTGTTCTCCAGGGTCATGACATTTCCCATCTCTGACAACGTGCAGTCTTAACACTTTTATTTTAATCATTTGTTTTAGTGGAAAATATTTGTATTTTCCTTCTCTGACAGGTTTCTACTTTACATGGGTTCCAGCTTTTGCAGGTTTTACAGTATGTTGGTACTTAAATCTATGGGTATTGATTTTTTTGTTAATAAAACATTACAATAGGAATGATTTTACTGGCTAATGAAAAGGTAGTGAGTATCTGTAAGTATTTGGTCTCATGTCTTGCTTATTGGGTGCCGTCAGTGGATTCCAACTCACAGTGATCCGGGCTGACGGAGTAGAGCTGCCCCATGGGGTTTCCTAGGCTGCAATCTTTCCAGGAGTCCTGGTGGTGCAATAGTTAAAGCTCTTGACTACTAACCAAAAAGGTCGATGGTTTCAACCTACCTACCTCTCTTCGGGAGAAAGGTGTGGCCATCCGCTTCCATAACGGTTTGCAGCCTCGAAAATCTCTGGTGGGCTCCACCACCGGCCTTTGGGTCATCAGCCGACTACCTAGCCACCGCCCAGCCCAGCTTCGCAGTTTTTATGCTTCTCCTGGAGACTGCAGTCATGTTTTATACCAGTTTAGTGTTAGAGAAGTAGCACCTGGGAAGTCTGCAGAGGAGAGCCAGTTCTGATTAAGCAAGTATTGAGGGTGAAGGAAATGAAAAGATTTGACTCATGATATAAATCTTGTGAATGCAGACAGGGTGCTGGTGATTGATTTAATGATAGATCTAAGAAACTTAAATTCAGACGCCCACCCCTTCCCTTATATATCTATTCTTTGAAGCCTAGGAAGACTTTGACAAGTTTTTGACAATTTGCTCACAAATTATACACGCCTGCGTTATTATATAAGCTTCCCTGGAAATAGCATGTACTGATCACAGGGTTAAATATTTTGTAGCAAGTGGGGACTGACTTGTGATTTTAACTTTGCTGTAAGATGACCAGTTTCATAAAACCTGTAAAAGTTCATAGAACCTGTAAAGGGAGGACTTCACTGACTGGTGACCACTTGGACTGTTTTGCATCACGGTATCACATTGCTCGTAGTTAAACCTGCATCTGAATTTCAGAGTCTAGAGGTGGTGTGTGATAAGAGATGGGCAAAGGTCTGTTTGATTTTGTTTGGTTGTTTTAGATGAGAGATGACATGTTATCTTTGGGACTTCTTTTGCTACAATCATTACTGCAGAGATGATCTGTGCATTTTTGTGCTCTGCTATTTTAGTCATTCATTTTATGGAGAATGCACTTCTTGCAAGAAAAAAAAAATAAATTGTATTTTTCTGACAAAATGAAAAGTTTTCACTCCCTAAGGGCACAGAGAGCTGTAAATCAAGTTCCATTTAGTCTTCCTACATGTTGTCAGTCTGATTCTTATCTTTGTAAGAAATAACATTATTTTCCACATATCCAAACCGGAGGTTTTCTGGAAGAAAGTAAAGCATTTGATGGGAAAAGTGTTGAAGTTATGCTAAATAGGGACGATGCAGAGCTGGGCCTCAGCAGTCACTGCTGCGTGCATTCCTGTTGCTCGCTTGAACTTCTAAGAAGGCAGCGTGGTTAGACCCTCAGAGCACACATACCATCTGTAGCTGACCAGAGGCCCCGAGATCAACTCTGAGTCACTGCAAACACCAGTGTTGATAATTTGCTTTTATAGGAACATAAGATGGCAGGAGACACAAAGGAATGTAGCGTTAGAAGGACAGGTAGGATTCCATTTATCTTCATGTTGCCCTACAGGTAGACTCAGGAATATTCCAAGGTGAGTTCATCTAATTCGGAACCTACAAAAAGTAGATCCACTTTTTTTGTTTGTTTTTTAACTGTGATTTGTATGGAAGTTTACAGAACAAATTGGTTTTCCATTCAACAATTCATATACATTCTGTTTTGTAATATTGATTGCAGTCCCCACAATGTAACAGTATTCTTCCCATTTCCTCCCTGAGTTTATCATTTCCCTTTGTCCTTCTTTCCTCCCTTTCTCTGAGCTTTATCCCTGGACATATGTGGTCCTTTCATCTCTTTGATCATTCTAATGAGTATGTTCCTCCCCAGTGTTATTGTTCACCATATACCCATGTCTATTGTTTAGCTCAAAGTTGAGCTACGGGCATGAGTTCAGTTCCAGGCTTGGATGATATCTGACTGCCATAGTCTTGGTGGTTACTCCAGTCTCTATCAGACCGGTGGAGTCCCTTCTGACAGTGGCATGACTGGTTACATGATTTGCAGTTCAAAATGAAAATGCAGGGCCTTCTGTCCTAAAATCATTAAGATCTTCAGATGTTGTCATCAGAACAGAAAACCACAGCCATGAAGCTGCTCCTGGAAAATGGATTGAGCAATGAACATCGCTGGCAATTAAGAGTTCTTTCTTAGATATTGCTGTTGTTACGTGCTGTCGATTTTCTACTCAGAACAACCAAAGTGACAGAGTAGAATTGGCCCATAGGGTATTCTTGGCTGTAACATTTGCAGGGCAGCTCCATTCTGTCCTGTAGAGTTGCTGGGAGTCAGAATTGACTCAACAGTATACAACA